CTCGACCTCCTTCGGGCTGAAACGCAAGAGTTAAAGCGAAAAAAACTAAGAATTAATGTTTCCTCTGCGATTTCCTGCGCGTTTCGCCGCAAAAAAAAGTGATTCCAAACTGTAAGCCCGCGGGCTGGGAAAAGTTGGCTCGTGATTTAGAACCACGCGGTGACCGCCATTTTGTGCCGTCTCTGCTCGCCGCAGCGCGCGATTTTCAAATGAAAGAAAACCAATTTTGACCGTGTTACACGAAGGTCTACAGTGTTTCTCGACGAATCGGTAAAGTGGTTGCTTTCTAGACTTCTAATTCTTTGAAGAAGTCATTGTTGGTTCGTTCTGAAGCTGTTGTTGTCGGATTTGAGCGATTATCTCGGATTACTGATCGGTAGATCGAAGTTCTTGACGTGTTTTTTCGCTGAAACTCCAAGGAAAACGTGTCGGTCGCTCTGTCAAGCGAAACGATCTGCTTGGAAAGCAACGACGCGGCAGACTGACACGAAAATCGCTTTGCACGGTTGCCGATCAACCGGCCGCGGCTAGTCCGATGCTAGCCGCGGCCGTATCGATCGGGAAAGCGGCTCCTTTGCGTGGCCGACCGGCCATGTAAATTCGATTAAGTGTTGAAAGTGCAGCCGAGAATGGATTTTCCAGCTGCGTGTATCGGTTCGAGGGCGAGCACGACGAGATCGTCAAGCTGAGGTTCAACAAGCTGCTGAACGGCAACCGGACCTGCCGCAGCGTCTCCAGCCCGGATTTCAATCGGCTGCTTTGCGTCGGATCGAGCAACTTTTCCGTAAAGGTGAAGCTTCATTTCTTTTTATCGCTATACAAGTTTAATGGCGATCCTCTTTTGGTGATCGCTACAAATCGCTAGACTTCTTGTCTTACAACAAGTTCAGCTAAATTATCCCTTTGCATTTTTAACCCTTTGCTCTTCGAACTGTTCGTGTATTTTCCTCGATATCTTCAAATGTTTCGTTTGAAGCATTAAGTGCTTTATTTTGGAAGATGATTGATAGGAAACAACGTGAATTATTTCTTTTACCATTAACTGGCAATTTAGAGACGTTAGATACCCAATATAGGAATACCTATGAGCAAAATCGATGTTATTTCATACTCGATGAAGAATCGCAAGGGGTTAAAGAACCCTTAGAACTTCACATCGAACGAAGACGTTGATACAACGTCGATATAGCCGTTAAACCTTATAGTTGCGATTCAATTCGAGTTCCCTGATCGATGTGCCGACAGGTGATGGACGAGCCATGGCCGAAAGCGCCGCCGGTGCAGAGGGATTGCTTCTGCTCCAACCGGTCCCTGCCGATGAACGTCAAGTCGACGTCGAACGTTGTCGAGGTCCACTTCAACGTGATTTCCATGGACGCCCTCGACGACTACAATAATCTGTTCTTCGAAGCCACTTGGGACTTCATCAAGACGGATCCCTGTCTACAGAAGCGACGGGTCAGGGGACCTTCCGGCGAGATCAAGTATAAATCGCCCATCATCGACGAAGACGAGGTAATTTTTCTCATCGTTGCTTGTCGGCGTTGTACGAACAATGTTCACTTTGCTTCGAGAACAATAGTGGCGGATTGAACAGCGGCATTCGTGCGAAAGACGATAGAATTCTAATGTAACGTAGTTGACTTATAAAATTCAACTTTGTCCTGTATCATCCACTCGATTTCATTGTATTTTACTATCATTCTTTCATCTTTAACCTTATGAATTATCCTGTGTCACTGATATTTTCAGAAAAACTGCGAGAAACATCCATGGCTGATCGAGCCAGGATCTAACCAGTATCTCTACGTGAAGACACAAGGCACGTTAATGTCGAAGACCACAAAGTGCGAGACGAAAAATCGGATCGTGGTGCACGTCGGGAACTCGCCACCGAAGTCGGTGTGTCCGAAACCGCCGCCGGAAATGAGACACGAGGTGGTAGAGGTGTTCAGCGACGGCTGGGCCGTCAGCGGTAACTCCATATTCCCAACACCTGGCGATGATCCCGTCAGAACCATTGCCATCGAGTTCATCATAAAGGAACCGGATTCGTACACAGTGACGTGGCTCGAGCTCACTAGGAGGTGAGTAATCTCGTAATAGTAATACCTGGATTAATCCTAATCCAGGTAACATCGAATAGAACGGGAGCTCTTGGAAAATTAAACTCAGTAGTCGTAGCAGATACTACTACTTCCTGCTGTGCAATTATATTAGATTAAACTGTAATGTGCACAGCTATCGATGACAAAGAGAACTGTGCCGCTATATAGTGGCGTACAGTAGCTAGAAGGTTAAGCTAGAGACAATTTCGAAAGAATACGCGAACACGAAACAATACAAGCGAACGGAAAATTCGTTCCAGGCCGTCGCTGACGTCCTCGGTTGGCCTCCAAATGCAAAGGGACTGCGAGCAACGCTGCCCGGAGCTGAACGCGTGCATAAACGAGTCCCTGTGGTGCAACGGTGTCTCCCATTGCCCGTCGGGCTACGACGAGGCGTTGGCGCACTGCTCGAAGCTGCTACAGCTGCCGCCGCTTCACCTGGGCATCGGCCTCCTGATCATCCTCACCGTCATCGTCGTGATCTGTCTGGTGGCCTGGCGGATCTGCCGGCAGCGGGCGAACAGGTCGATATCCCAGCACAGGCTGAAGAGCATCTCGTCGGAGACGGCGATCATCGACGGCAAGGAAGTGATCTGCTGACACAGCGACAGTTCTGTGCGATACGTGGAGGTAGACCGCGTGACCACCGTGTGACGATCGCCGTCGGTCATGCTGCCCGGCCGCCATGTTTACGCGCTCTGCCTGGCGTCCTCCTGAACGGGACGACGCTGTCATGGCGGCCGCCGTCTCCGCGTAACGCGCAGAACTGCTTCTTCGAGATGTCGCCGAGTCGACGAGGACTCGGATGCGCACGGTGGTTCTCTGCTCGATGACTCGGACCGCGCGGATCCTAAATGGCCCCCGTTCAACGGATCCACGGGTTTTCAGGGACTTCCATAGAGTGTTTCCTTTGGAGAGGCCGCGGAGATTCTCTTCTTTAGATCACTATTCCTCGGGCATCTCAGTGAAAATGGCTGTCCGGTTCGGACTGTAGATTTCTAGGCACTTCGGCGGGAGTTTCTTGGAGACTGGACTGGGTATCTTCATCGTGTGCTCGGGGAATAGGTGTAGTTAGCTTTCAGCTTTGGGGCGCGATTAGGCTGGCTTCACTTGGGTCACTACTGGTTTGGATATGGTTTTAGGGGGTTGTGTTTGGGAGATCGGAGATCAGTTTCAAGTAATTCTTCTTTGGTTTCTTTTTGTGGAAGGACTCTTCGGTATGAGGGTGCGCTGAAGATCAAGATGCTTCTCAAGTTTGCTCCTATGTTGAGGTATCTCCTTTCTGTTCCCGAGTGTTAGAATCCGTATCGTTCTATTATTTCGTGATCGCAAGAAGTTTGCGCAGGGAATAGCCGTTCGTCGATCAGACTGTGGACGTTCACATGAATTCTATTCTGAAATTTTGCTTTAACAGTCGAAGAAACCACTGTTTCGTCAAGGGAGACTCATCAACTTCACTGCGAAGGGAATAGGAATCTTAATTTCCGTTATTCTTGTTCGATTTTCATGCATTCGAGTCTTCGGACATGTCCCGGCGAGGCTCTCGCGAGCGAAAGTCCTCTCCAAGACTCGCAAGCCAGGTATTCCAATCAGTAAAGTCAATGTTTGGCTTCTAGATAGCCAGAGCTAACTCCTGAGAGCCCTAACTCGGACATGTCCGATCGATACAGCTCGCAGTCCACGGTCCATCGATCAACTTTTTCGTCTGACAGCGCGTCACGTCAGTGGGAGGTGGTGTCGGGTTGCTTCAACAAGGACAATAAGTAATAGATCCTAGGTGATATCGTTTCGCTGATAGTGTAGCTTAGCGCTGACATTGTATCGCTGTCGATCGGCCGCCGATCGGTCGCGTTTCGGGACGCTTTCTCCGTTCCGGGAGCAGAAAGGCCGCCGATCGGTCGCGTCTGGATCGCCGGGAAGCTTGAAATTCCGTTGAATCTCGTGCTGGATCGGAGCCGGCCATCGGAAAACGTGTGTCCGAGTGATCGAGCAGGGAACGAGCAAGAAACTCGCACTAGTCATTCGATCGTTCGTCGGGTCGCTTCGACGAACAGACGGAAACACGATTTTTAGCACGAGCCAACTGACTGCTGGCCTCCCTCTCTCTCTCTCTCTCTCTGTCTCTGTCTTTCTCTCTGTCCCCTTCTCACCTCTCTCTCTCTCTCCCTGTCTGTCTCCCTCTTTTCACTTTCTCCTCCGTTTTTAAGCGCGAAAAAGGGATATCCTCTGTACGATGCTCGGTCGACGAGCCGAGCAGTCGCGCGACGTTGTTCAGGTGAACCGAGCCGTTTCCTTTGACAGCGACGCGACACCGAGCCACCTCGTTCCTTTGTGCGATAATAGAGATCCTCGAGATCAAACGGCCCCGAGGAGGAATCTCGAGATCATCCGTTGGAGGACACGCTTCGTGACTCCTTTTTCTGTGAAAGACACCCCGGCCCTATCGCTTTGCTTTCGTTTTTCACGCACTCGTTGTGGGAGTTTGCCGGTTGTTACCGCTCCAGGGAACTTGGGATTGGTCTCCGAAGACCGTAGACACGTTCAAGACGCCGACAACGTACGTGAAGCTCCGCGGAGTTGATTCTAAAGTGTACCGAATTCGTTCACGGGGAAAATGAACGGTTACCTTCGGTCTTCGTGGATTACAAAGAAGAAACTTTATGTTGCAACGGAGGTCTGCCCGATCGTTTGTGATGAATTATTTTCTTATTCCGAATCTGCTCGATGTACGCAATTTTTCGGAGTAGATGATGGAATAGTCCCATGAACTATACACGATCTCTTTTCATCAATGTTCGCGATGAACTGAAGAATTCGTTTTCTGAAGAATAGTACAGAGTTTTCCTTAGAGTCTATTATTGTTTAGAGGGAATGTATTTTCAATTGCAACGAACAATTGATCGCGTCGTTCTCAAAGGAACCGCCGGCTCGGCGCTTGGAACTAGAGAAACTGACCAAAATCGTTTCGAGTGATTACCGTTTAGACGATTTACCTTATGAATACTTGTGCTAGCGATAAGACTCCGGGAGGAACGCGTGCGCGACGGGTGGAAGGAAACAAGAAACGAGAAAGATTAACGGTAGAACCTATGGTAGCCTGAAATTATGTGATATATATATGACGAGACGCTGTTTTTTCCGCGGAGCTGTGCTCCCGTTTAAAGAGTTGTTACGTAACGGCCCGGAGGCCGCGAACGCACGAGGCTCGACGAAGAGTTCGACGCCGGGAATCATTTTTTGATCGGTCGACGGATCAACAACGGCGACACGCCGGGACTTGTACACCATGTTCATACTTGTACATAATTATTTATCTATTTGTATCGGGCGAAACGATCTTTGGGCACGCGTCTCCGTTCGCGCCGTCATCGTTCCGCCGCCATCTCGCTTCGGCGAGGCTCCAACGGTCATCGGGAGTTCGAGCTTCGAAATTTTGCGATTTCGAACGGAACGGTTGATCGTGTTTCATGGATTTCGGAAAGTTCGGTCACTCTTTTGCATTTACAACGTGAGAGGAAGGTGCGTTATTTAAGTTTGTCGAGCGTCACCGCGAACGGAGACCTGTACAGAACCGCTTTATTACTATAAATAAGCATAGAAGTTTGAAAAGCGAACAGGAACGAACCTTCGAACGCGAAACGAACGATAGGGGATTGTAAAGGGGGAGATCGAGGATGAAGGGGATGCCGAAAGGAAAGGTAAAAACGAGTAAAACAATGCAGCGCGTGAACGAAACGCCGCCGTCAGCTAGCCGGAAGCACCGCCATCGTTTTTCTCGCTGTTTCCACCGTGCACACGCTGAACGATTACCGCGAAAACAGACGGGGAAACCATTCGCGTACCGAATGCCACAGTCGAACCGTGATGATATTGTATTCGAGAAACCGACCCTCCGTTCTTATACGTTCACGAATGACAATCGTTGTAATGTATTCCCGGGCGACGCGGAGCCGCGTTCTTTCGCTTGATTCGATTCATTGCACCGTATCGTTTAAGTAGCGCCGATCCGGGGCCAGCGGTTTCGCTGCGGGAAACGCTGGGACCACCCTCCAGGTTCCTGTACGCGGGAAAAATTCAATGGGGAATTTCGAAAGATTCTTAGTTCGGCGTCGATCGAAGCCTAACGGTCGGACAAGTGTAAATCGAAGGATTTTCAAATTCTAAATGTTACATGGATGGAAATTTGAGAGGTTGGAGGCTCGAGAATTGAAATGTCTAAAAGTCGAAGAGCTTCGAAGAAAAATGATTCGAGAACTGAGAAGTTCGCGAATCTGAAAGTTTGAGTGACTTAGAGATTCGAACAGTCGAGAGTTCAAACATTTGTAAAATTTGAGAACTTTAGAGTCCAAGAGTTTGAACAGTTTGGAGACGCGAGAGTTCGCGAGACTTGGAAATTTGAAAGGTAGATCACTCGTATGTTTGAAGTTTTGTAATTGTATCGTTAACGGGACACCTTTTCTTTCTGCAAATCGCGTTCCCCGAGTGCTCAAACGGTACAAAACGGCGTCGAGAGGGTGGTTCTCACCGCGACGCGACGCGCGAACACGATTTCGTCCTTACGAGAAGACTTTTGTCGTTCACCAGTTTCTTCATTCTCGTACGGTTAAATTTCGCTCGAGCACGAACCGATCCCTGATTTCACGTAGAAACGATGTTGCTCACGCGCGCCAACGAAACCGACGCACTTCTCTTCGCGTTAACGATCGTTCCGCGACGTCTCTTGCGTTCCGGGGACCAACATGGCCGCTTAAACGCGATCGAAACGTTCCCTTTGGTTCGATTATGCCCGCGTGATTCCGTTCCGGCGTGAAATTAATGAAACCGTCACGCGACACAGAACGATCCAGAGAATCGAAGACTGAATTATAATTTCCGCGACGATCCGACGAGGTCCTTCCTGGAACCTGGGACTCAAATTCACTGCCATTTTGATTTCGTCTCCGTTTAAAAATTCGTTCACGACGAACCAGTACAAACTATCGTTAAATGATTGCCATTGTTTCGACAAAGATTTTTCGATAATCAAAAGTGTAATGCTAAGGCTGTTAACAATTATTTCGACGATTCGTTTAAGCATAGAACAACGAGGGTCAATCAGAAAATGGCGCGGAGACGAGAACACCGTTCATTTTGCTGATCACGAATTACACATTGCACGAAACGATGGACTCAAGGTGCTCAATAATCATTCTCCAAAGATTCATTCATTCTTATGAAATAACGATCATTTGTATAGACGACGACTGATTCGATATCGAATCGATCAATGAACAAACTCGAGAGTTCGAATCCTCTGCCGGACGAATCACCGACGCGGTTCTCTTTCCTCGAGTGTGACTTTCATTCGCGTGCCATTTCTCGTCGCGAGTTTACGACAATGTCTATACGAGTTCACAGTCTACCATTAACAGGTTGATTGCCGAATCATCCTATACAGTTAAAACGACTTTCTTAACGAAAGGGAAACCGAAAACTCGAGATTCTTCGTAGAGGTTGTTCCATTGTCCTTTTTGTATCTCATAAATCCATCGGAATTCGATTCTTTCGATGCGTCATTAAGAAAATTAATTTTGAAATTTCTAGGAAAAATTGCATCACCAGGCAGTCAATGTGTTAAGGATTCTGTTAGATCGAAATCGAAGCGACGCGTAAGCATCCTCGGTTCGAATACTCAGCGAAATACATCCGCACGAAATTCCGCTACACGCTTCATTGCCAATGATGATTTCGCGTGCGCACAGCTGCACAGCCACTCTCATCGACAAGAATCCCGAACCGCGAACCGTTACACCGTGTGATTCTAAGTTAACGTCGCAAAATTTCCCAACGGAACTCGAACTTAACGCTAGAACTATCAGACAGATCAAAATGACCCATTTCAAAGTTTCACAATTATCGAAATTACTAAGTTGCTTTTGGGAGAAATTGTAAAACAAATTTACCCGTTTGTACTATACCGCAATAAAAGCTGCTACGGATCTTGAGGAACGTACTCTTCCAATTTTTCTAAGGAATTTTAAATAAGTTACTCCAATTGCTCGGTAGTTCTAGTGTTAATGAACAAAATATTTATTACTTTCCACGTTATTTTGCGCACCATGTTTCTCGCGTCTTTTCAAACGGAATGGCTTTGAGAACCACTGCGCGCTACAAGTGTAACGTCGTATGGGAACGCCATATTGGATTCCGGCGGGATTTGTGAAATTAACTTAGAAAATCGGCTCGTACGTTTCACGAACTACTTTTCGTGAATGTGACCAGCCCAAATGTGACCCGTACATCATCAGATCCGCTGTTGGTTATTAGAGGATCGCGGAGTCCAGGTGAGTTTGAGTGAAACGCGAGCCGCGCACAAAGGTCTCCATTTTGCACACGGTATAAATACCAGCGATGCAACGCGACGCAACAACGATACAAGAGAAGGGAGAACAGCGGAAAATCAACATGTGCGATCAAAAAAAAATTCCCCTTGTTTGGCTGCGCGCGGGTGCACGATGGGAATGAGGGTTCCGCTGGTCGTTACGATTTCCATTTAAGCTGGCTGCACAGTTGTGCAAACAGAACCGTGTCCCATCGTTGAAAAAGAATTTTATATAAATCTTTTCCGTTCACTAAACAAAGAACACACAATAATGATGCGATTTCCATTGAAAAATGAGAACCAATAGAGGGTCAACATGATTTCGAATTTGTCTTTCATTCGATGCTCTATAACCAGATTCTATTTAATTCAATATTTAACTTCAAGACTGATTCTTTTTACGAATAGGAGATACAAGTATTTTTCATAGACATAGCAAACGAGAACGTTCAAATAACAATGTGTTTGACTCGAAGCGAAAGATGAATATTAAAAAATAAAATCTGGGAATATAAATTTGATCGAGCGACTATTTATCGAAAACGGTAGCGGCGTCGTGAGAGGTTGGCGAAAGTTTTTATTGGAGGAGCGAAATTTCTGTTCCCCGAAAATTCGTTGCAAAAAACACGCCCGTGCAAACATGCAACAGTCTGTTGCGCAACGATGCAATTGTGGGGCTAGCTTTAACCGGCGCGCAAACATCAGGGCGCGGCGGTCTCGATGCAATTTATTGGCGAACCTTTATTGACATCGTGCATGACAAACGCGGCCAGTGTTTGGAGACAGCCGCGCGCGAGGGCTATCGGCTGTAGAATCGCGCGAACAATAAACGGACTGTTGCCATCCAGTTCTTTCCACGCAATATGGCCGCTCCGTTCATATCCGGCGCGCCACCGCGACCTTTTTCATCCTTTGCTCGTTGGCTCATACCGTTGAAAAAACGATTCTAAACGGTGAAAACGGCGAATCAATGACTAACGTATCCATTAATTCAGAAGATAATCGAGTTGGTCGAGCAGCGAACGAAATTCGCGCTGTGAATCAGGCAGAACGGTCCGAGGACGTTCCATCGTCGCCATATTGGCTTCGGAAGTCGGTCTCGATCGCCATTTTGTCGCCGATGGCCCGCGCGGGCAGCGTGCATGTACATAAATAAGATGAAAATGGGTCGCGATACCGACCCGATTGTAAATAAAACGTAAACTGTACACGTATGAATTTTAAAACTAATTCTAGATCACGATCTAAGTTACTGAATAACTAAAGAAACGTAGACGATTAGAGCGTTACTAATTACGATGTAAACCATATCCATGGCCGCGCTGCCAGCGAGAGACACGGAAGCTGTCGCTGATGCATCGACAGTCGCGATTCTCAAGGGACGTCGGAAATGGATTATTAAACATGTTTTAATTAACTCATATTTTCATGTTTCTCTCCGTTGAACGTTTAACGAAACGCCGTTTAATCTCTTACTAACGCGCCGACTATTTATCAACTTTCACACGAGATCAACGATCGTCTCTTTTCAAAATGAAAATCTGACGAATCGTTTAATCCGATTGTACCATGGAACGAACGAATTTCCGACGATCCCGCGGGAATTGGCGATCCGTTGTCTCCGATCAGATTCTAAGGAAAAAGAGAGCATAATGGAACGCGCAATCGAACGATCTCGCCGTCGCGCCGGGCGCGCCGAATCGACGAGATCGCCGCGATTCCATTCTACGTAAGTGGACTGCGGATCTCTATGTGGATTCCCATTTTCATAGACCACTTGAGAGGCAGAACAGAAGATTTTCCTTTTCTCCGTACGGGAGAGACTCGTCGAGATGAATGTGATCCAAAGATTTGACTAGTCCTCGTTCCGCGAATTCGTAAAATCCGTAGTCTAACCGTGGGTGTTGCCGGTGAACACCGATGAACTGCACAAAACGATTATGTTAATCATTAACGAGGTGAGAACGAAGGAACAGCGGGAAGAAACTCGGAACAGACGGTTCGAAACTGACCGTACGACTCGCGCGCCATTTCCCGGAGACCCGCTCGCGAAATGGAGGCCGAGGTTTCCAGAATTTCTTAGCAATTCGATTGTCCGTGCTTGCAGAACACTCGTTGAATGAAGATCGTTTGAAGTTTTGGATAAATTTTTGAAAATTCCGTCAGCTGATTCATTTCGGCGCGTGCGACTGTTCCGAGCTCCGAAACTCTTCCCGGGGACTGTCGAAAACGCTTATCGTCTTGAACGCCTCGGCGTTCCGTAATAATCATCGTTTCGAACGATCAAACGAACGAACAATCTTTATTTTATCGCTCCATCGGGGTGAACGCGTCGTCAAGTGACGATCGTCGGCTGTTTGTCAGCCCTCGGTAAGTCGGACAGCGCTGTTGCCAACAGTCACGGAGGGAAAACTGCACGGGAAACGAAGATTCCTGCATTATTCGCAAACGCTACCCAAGGATCCTTTATTTTCGTGCGCAATCTCGAATCGAAATATTGTTGGTTCCCGTCTTCTCGAATCGTCCAAACCGCATTGTGTTGCCAGAACACACGGATCGTGAATTTCCTTAATGATTCTTTCGAATGTTTTTCCGTGTCCTCGTAACGCACGAAGTTTTTTAATGACGAAACATCGCTCGGTACATCGAGGCCCCGAAATTCTCTCGTTCCTGACGTTGATTGGCCGCTAGACTGCGGTCGTTTATGCAAATCGTATCCTACTCGAACATTCCTATCATTCGCTACGAGATAAAAAAACAAGCTCGACAATTTCTGTTTCTGAAGAAAAATACGCTATGTACCACCCGGTGTATTGCGTATCACGGTTGTATGAATTCGTTTGATTTACCGTCTGCTAAAATTGAGGTCAGAACGTAATAACGCAATGACAATGGCGACCCTTTCATTGATCCATTTATATTACGTAAAAACCATCGATGATCGTGCCATTGTCGCGAACGGTACCGTAAAGATCATTTTCTTCCTTTAAATAAAATATAAAACGATGATCGCAAAGGAGATATACTGCACGATTCCTCGTTTCGCGTGGACTGGGATCGCTGTGTTTGTCAATAAAGTCACGTGGTTTCGTTGCGTTCCGTTCTAATCTCTAATTAAACAGGCGTTACGTGAATGACATTCGTAATATTGTTTACGCGTCGCACAAGGACAGCGTTCATCTTGGGCTATCGCGTGTGTCATGCATCTCGTGCGCATCGCGAATGCATAAAAACTGCAGTCTAGTCTCGTTTTAGAGGAGGAACCATGTGGATATGCCTGTAACAACGTTTCTTTCCACGTTGAAATAAAATTTTGCGGTGAACGTGTATAGTAAGGAACTGGCTCGACAATAACACACGTTGCACACACACACAGATAATAACACACACATATATACACGAGGAGCGTGCACAGCACGAGATACGGTGTGACGCGCGTTTATCAGGTCGACGGTATACTTAAGTATGTGGAAGTATGTCAACGATTCGCTCGACGATTCGTCAAGGATTATTGTAATTCATCGGAACGGCCGGTGACATTGTAACTGTCGTCTCTGTAACGGAAAGGACGCGTTACACGGAAATAAGAGGACGGAACAACTGTAACCGGAATAATCAGTCGGCGTTGGTTAATTGAGGCTGACGAGATATCGTGTCGGTCGACCTGAGGAACAGCTCTCTCTCTGCGAGATGATCGACGAGAACAATAGGGGATCGACCACCGCCAGACGTAAATCTGAATGAAAAAACCTCCGGATACATGCTCACACGACATGCATATAGTTACTAATTATACCATTATTGATTACCGATTCGAATATCGAGTATGCGACATTTTTAATAAATTATTTTGAAGATCGCTCGAGTAGTTCATTTCTGCCACACCTCCGCCGCACCGTGTCCGATAAGCGTTATTTGTTTGTAGCTTTCTGGGTCAGTTCTGGAAGTGGATAATAAACAGTGCTCTTTCGAAGATACCTTTAATCTTCACTCGGTATTGTATTGACAATTTTATTCGTGTGGAGAGTAAGTAAAGTTGTAAATTAATTCGAACAGATTTGCGCATTAAATCTACCCCTTGAATCGGTGGTTGCTCAACGGTACGCGCATGCGCGGCAGTTACCGGATTTTCAAAGGTTCTAAATACAGGTTACATCATTCGAAATTTGTGCGGATTCCCTTGGGCGCAGGTAGTTGTTTGTTTAGGTTCCTTGAAGAGTGTACAAATTAGAAAACTTTTGAATAAACTTGTTTGTGAGAGTATGAATACTGGAGTAAAAAAAAGAAATTGACTGTAATTGTTAAAGTTCCTAAAAGACTTTGAAGATGCTTTTGAAAGTCTACTGTTTCTCACAACCCATTCAGTCGCAATTGCTATATGAGTTAGAATATAATTCAGATGGTAATTCGGAATGAATTAATACAATTTTAGGAAAAAATAATTTATTATTTAAACGGATTAGTCACGCATTAAAAACAACGACGGCAAGAAAATGCTGGTTTGATTTACACAAATACACAACGCAAGGTTGTTTTGACTGGTTCGAAAAATGCGTGCAATACACGACTATCGAAAAGGCGGTTTTTTTCTTTATCTGGAAATTGTATACTCATTCACTCATACATGCATACATATACATATATGTATCTAGAACCATAATCATCTAATTATGCCGTTTTCTTTCTTTTTCTTTAATAATATATGTAAGAAGCGATATACATATTACGGTAGTAAGTACTCTGGTAATGTGTTAAGAATACCTTAAGTCATAACGAACATTTTAACCTCAAAATAAAAATGAAGAACCGTCGGAATGTACCTTAATATAAGATAATATCCTTTCAGAGATCACATAATTCCTTGTAGTTCAAGAATTGTATGCATAAATCTCACGTTTGAGTGCTCAATTAATTATGAAATAAGTTAACCTTAAAATTTCATATCTCTGTTCTAACTAATTACATCATACATACGTGATATTGCATTGGAAGTACAGCTCACCAAAAACTGTTTGTTTTGTCAACTTCAATATGAATGAAAGCTTTCACTAAGTCATCAGTACCCTTTTAGAAAATGCTATCATCATGGAATAACATTTACCAAATCTCAGTAATGCTATTGTATACCACAGAGCTGTGGTAAAAACAAGCTGTAACTTGTTTTTTGGTAATGTACATTCTCGCTTCTTTTTCTTTTTACATATCCCGCTGTATGACTAGAAACATTACTCCTGCTTTTCCCTGACAACAGTACCATTTGCATTTACAGACTCATCTTCTATTTGCCGATTCCTTGCCTGTTGTCGTAACTGGGCTCTCTTTAAACTGGTCATTAGCTGACTGGACTGATAAAGCCAACTAGCCTGAAAATATAATACAATCACATATTTTGTTATAACACTCCTACAACTACACTGTTATATGGATTTGTCCCTTGTGTACTCACAATCATTATCATACAATTCATCAAGATAGGCACAGAAAATACTACAGATATAAAAAGTCCATTGGAATCAAAATACTGCTGCCTTGAGAATAACCTATTAAAGTTGAACGAAGTTGCTTTAATATGTACTATCGATGCGCTGTTCTGTTATAATAACGATATAATCGCATTCCTAGATACTTACATCCAATTAGAAGCAGCCATTTCATTAATGCTTTCAGAGAAGTATACCAATAATACTGCAATACACGAAGAAGAATATAATTACATCGAACATTTAATATTCCAATAACAGTCTCAAGGAACTTACAAAGAACGAGGAATAACATTATTTGAAAATTAGCATGATTTCGTGTCATAACTGCTGTCATGGTCACAGCGATATGAAAAGTTAATAACAGTGCAAGCCATGGATCCCTCCACTCGATCTGCAATGATTTATAACTTCACCTACTGGCATTTAAATGTTCCTACATGAACTTACATAACGATGTGAAAAAACAATATTCTAAGCAATACATCTGCAGTGAAACCTTCAAAGTTCAACGATAAGAGAACTATTACATGCTGCACAGCTCAACGATTTTTAAACATTTCAAACGAAACGCGACATTCCGACAAATATAGCAGTCCAATTTAAATAAAATTAAAATAAAATACGCCACTCATTGTTTACTAACTTGCAACTATTTACTACCGCCCAGCGGTGCGCTCGAAATACTTCAGAATAAATTTCCCTGGGCGAATGATTAATATATTTACCGCCGCGTCGTGCGTCGCGTCTTTCTTCCGTGACATCGCGTTTCAATTATCAACGAGCCGCGTCCAATCACGAAAAGCCGGCTAAAAGAGCGAACATCGTGGAAAGTGAACGGCGCCCGCGGAGACACCCAGCCAGACACAGAGAAAACAAATTCCATAAAGTGGGAAAAAAGAATGCGTGACACGAGCGTCGAAAATAGATTGCACTCCGATAAATCCATCGACTTTCATTCGACGGTATCATCTCTCGCGCTACACCGTGGAACCGTGAGATTTAAAAATGTCGTAACGCCAGCCAACTATCACTGATAACAGCCCGGGCACACCAGCGAAACCGGGACGGAAATTGACATGTGCGCTAGTGCCTCCGCATTGACACTATTTCGCCGGCTCTGCGGAAAACGAGAGTGCGTCGTTCGCGATGCATACGCACGCAGTCCCCGTTGTTTTT